TCCCTTCACCTTATGTCTTCTACCGTTGCCTTCAAAACCCTCTTAAAGAAACTTATTTTTTTTGACCGTGCCTTTGCTGAACACCTTCAAAGTCCACCTCTATGGCAATCCCCATCTCTTTTATAAAGCGTTTCATGACATTCATTTTCCGTGGATGGTGGTGAATAATTGCAAGTTATTATATAATTTTTCAAACTCAAGTAAAAAAAATCCAAGTGCTTAAATGATACACAAGGTATAACTATAGCTATTGTGCTACATCCCTGGTGTAAGTGATTAATAAAATTCCAATAGAATCTTCATCTTAAAATTTTTAAAGCACAAACTTGGGGTAGTATTGCCTGAACCTCCTAGAATTTAATCTGCGTCTAACTGAAATCACAACTGAATATAAATGACAATGCATTTATCCGCCACGGCTCATTAACATAGCCCAAAAGCATGCTGTTTTGTCGATACACAGAGACTTGGGAACTAAAAATAGACATACCTGTCAAGTTTTTTTTTCTTTCAATACATTTGAACTGTCCATGTCATGATAGACATCGCTCATGGTTGACTCATCTCCAACCTGCACTCTTGATAAAAGTCCTCAGCTTTCTGTTGAAGCTAATCCATCTAGCTAAGTTGTACTCAACCTTAATAATGACATGTACAATGTCGCTGTGAAGATTGTGGCATTCCATATATCACTCAGCTGGATGCTTTTTGGGCTTTTTTTCCCCCTCTCTCTGACTTAGAGCTGCTTAGCAACAGCTGGCTCCTATCTTCCTCATTATCCACAGTCAAATTGACAGTGCCTGATCATGGTGTCAATCCCACTCTTTAAACCTGCCTCCTGCCCAAAGCGGTACACTTTAGTTGAAAGCACTGACTGTGCTGGCCAACCACTAGCGGAAATTCAAAAGGCTAGTACAATTAAGCTGTCAGGACTGACTTACTTCAGAAGGGAAACAAATATATAGAGGATTGTACAATAGCAATCCATATGATGTGTAATACACCGTTATTCCTGGCTTTTGCCAAAATCAATTTGATTACACTGCTTAAAATGTAATTATAATGTACACAGAAAAAACCCATGAAAACATGAACATTATCTCTTTTGTGACAATCATAGGGTGGCAGGTTTTAGAATGTTGGATTTTTTGACGAACACAGAGAAACGGAATTGCAAAGAAAACAGCCATTGCCATTATCTGGAAGGCAATGGCTAATGCATCGAGTCGACAAATAGAATCGTGAGGAGGATGCCACACCAACATGATGATGCTGCAAGTCATCTCCCCGCAAAGCAACAATTACTTTGCACTATAAGAGGTGAAGCCAGCTGCAGGATGTGAAAATGATGCATCTTCATTCACTTTGGAATACGTTATTTTGTCAAATTAGTTATTTTTGCCTTTCTTTGTACGTACACCCAAAATACATACAAAGAAAATCACCAGAACCAAATACACTAATATTCTACAGTAAAGAGATAATTAATGAGCAAAGAAATTTAAATCTCAAACGCAAGCAAAACCTACTTGATATGCAACTTAGTCTCATAGTATCCATTCATTCCATTCCTCTGCCATGTGGGAGGAATGAGTTATGTGGAACAATTAGACAAGGCTCTTCAGTTTTCAAAGGTGCCAACTTAAAGTGAACTTTATGGACGAATACAAGATTTGAAATGGAATTAAGAAAGTAAACACTGTATGTGAGGGGAATGCTAGACCATTGTGTGAGGGAAATACAACAAAAGGCGAGAAATACAGTGTAAACAATTTCAGAATTTTTTTTGAATCAGTGACAATTCTGTTTTTAACTGAAACCTCACGGGTTGACATTTAATCATTAAACACAGTAAACTCCTGATATATCGTCATTCCAAGGAAAAGAGCTCGGTGACTCTGTATCCAGTGAGGCAAGAACTAAAATTTCTACTCACAAAGGTCTTGCCGCAACTCACCAGGATGTGAGTTTATAGATTTATAGGCGAGTGATGAAATAAAAGGGGGACCTAATTCAGATTTTGCATGGCAAGTGCCCGGGATAGTGACAGCATGATGATACAAGCCAGGCTCTTATTATCGGGGGTTCATTGTATCTCTTTACTGAGTATTTATGCTAACAACATTTACAAGAGCTGGGATATTGCACTGTTTTATAACAACTTTTTAAAAAGTTCACCTTTATTCAATGAGCAATAATATATTGTCTGAAATAATTTTTTTAATCTTTCTTTGGACTAAGGTTGCAGGTGAATGTGACAGGTAATTTGTGCACAGCAGTGTCCTACAAACAGCCATAAAATGAACAAAGTGAAATTATCTGGGGGGATTGTTGGCCAGGACACTGGGAAAATCTCCCTTCTCTTTTCCAATAAAAAAATCTTTAAAAATGATTTCCATTAACATTCTTTTCTGAGTTTTTTTTTAAATCTAAGGCTATTTCTGTTTTAACAGTCGTGGATTGAGTGACGAAAATATTATTTTTGTAAGGCATTATTACCCTCAGAAAGCGATCCGTCAATCAACTAACAACTGGGTTCCCACTTACTGCAAGGTAATCAGAGACATGTGGAGTAATGAAGCTTGCCTAAGTATTTGCCCCGCCCAGGAATCGAACACGGGTCCTCTCGCTTGCGAGGCAAGTGCTCTAACCACTGAGCTACATAATCAGTTTCTGAAATTCGTTGGGAAGCAGGGCCTGAAAATGTCACAAAAAAATGGTGGGAATCTTGAAATGAAGATTGTGTGTTCTCGGCTGTTTTGTCACATTAAACTACTTTTCACTTTGGTTGTTCTTATGGTGGGTTACTGCTTTGCACCACCTATATCAATCGTTACCCTTGCATAAAACCTACAAAGAGAAAGCTGAAGAAGGACTTCAAAAGCTAAGAATTAAATTTGACCACAGCTCATCTCTTTTTACTCTTAATTTGGCGACTGCTGAAATAATCATAAATTCTATAACTTTAGTTAGTCCAACTAAGACAAAAAATATACATCTCTTTAAAGTGTACTTTTATTAATTGCTTCAATGTGTAATCTTTGATTAGAACAAAAATCATATCCCTAGTAAGATGAGCTTTTTTTTTGGCTGCAGCAAAATCTGTGGGCTTTAACTCTATTTCCACCGTGGGTTTTATTGGACTGAAACATGAATTACAATCACATTCTGATTATCCCACACAGTATCCTTCCTCCCAAAGGAAGGATGGACATGTGTAATCTCAGAAGACAAATCCCTAGGTTCACACACCGAGCACTCCTGCAATTTATAAATATATTTTTATTACACAATCAGAATTTTATCTATTCAACAACATTTTAATTTTCTCTTTTGTAATAACAGCCACTACCGAATAGCAAGTTTCCTTATTCCACACGTCTTTGTTTATCTGGCAGAAAGTATGAACCCACTTGTTGGTCGATTGGTGGATCACTTTCTGGAGGTAATAATCCCTCCAAAAAATATAATAATTTGGTCACTCAATCCACCACTGTTTGTGGGACACTTCTGTGCGCAATTGTCTGCCCCGTTTCGCCAACAAAATACACACTTTATAGTATTTTCTGTGACGCGTTTTAAGACGTCTCAAAGACGTGATAAGGCGCTATATCAAATACAAGGAATATTATTATTATTATTACCTGCTCTGGAGAGAATGTAATCTGTAAATGTTCTGGTCATGCGTTCTCAGCTACTTGCTGATTGAAATAAATTTAGAATTAAATAGTGGTGGTCTGAAACATAGTATTTCATAATCCGTATTCTACTTCACAAATGGGGACTCTTCTGGTACCCCGAAGTATGTCAAGCCAATCTACAGGTATGCCAATCTCAAATGAGTTACTTTTGGAGTGGAGATTCTGTAAATTGGCCAAGATTTTTGTTCTTGTTGACCTTACGTTTTGGTCGATCAACAAAATACATTTTCTTGATTGAATATTTCTTGATTTATGGTACAACCAATCGAACGCTGACTTACCTAGACTTTTGTGAATGTTCAGGGGAAGGGGCATCTTGACGGTTCCATGGGCCACTTCCGGCCTGCTAGCCACAGGTTGGTCACCACTGCTCTAGACCTTACACAATCAGATGGTGCTATTGCAGACTTTTAGCTCTGTAATGTAACTCGATCCAAATCAGAAGTGTGTTAGTTGCATCTTTATTTGTCAATCCAAACTCTCAAGAATCCAGCACTCTAAACCACACACTTTGTCGCACTCCCAGTGGCCTTTTATACTTTTTTTTATTGGCCCTTTGTTAATTGTCAATTTAATCTTAAAAGAAGTATCCAACAAGCTCCCTCTGTATCTCCTCCTCAATTTTTGGATGTACACGATGCAGTCTCTTTTGTAAAAGGTGAAGTCAAAGTTAATCTTATCAGTTGTAGGTACCAATCATCCACACACCTGCAAATACCTGAGTACTTGACATGATGTTCAAGCATCGTCTTTGAGACAATTTTAAACAATGCTGATCTGCAAACAAAAATTGGCACAAATGTAACAACATTGCACTGAATACAATACATGGATGTATGGGAGAAAAAGGTAACTAAACCCATTACATGCTGCCTTATATACATATGCAGGATTCTGGAATTCAAGTGGTGGAGAGCGCCCTCCAATCTCACAAAGTATTCAGAAGTCTTCTAGGAAGCTGGTCCCTGTTATTGTTTCCCAACTTTTTATTCCAATGTGGATCTCAATCAAGTATTGCGAAGAGAATAAGGAGCGAGAAGGAGCACAAGCTCATCACTCGTGTGACAGGCCTGAAATTAAACTTGGTTTGAAGTTAGCCATCTTTTATCACACACCCACAATGCACACACAGATGGAGCAACGAGATGCTGAAATTCAACAACATGAAGCCAATGAAACAAGATCAGAGGTTTGAACAAACAAACTAAAAAAACACGATACAACAATTGATCTGGATTTGTGTTTCATACATTTGGAAACAGGAATAGTCATAAGGCAATGGATATACTTTAGTCCTACCTCTCGGATCTGCATTCTAACTTTGTTGATAGCTCGAATCCAGCGTGCTCGAGCAGGAGGGAATGGGGGAGCTTCATCTACATCATTGTAGCTAGACAAACAAAAAATAATTCTCAATAAATACCAGTAGGCCAAATAAATTACTTGAATGTGTTTACTGTTTGTTCTAAAAATTTACAAGAACAAAAATCAGTTGAAATCAGAAAAAGGCTATTCAACAATTCAAACACATCTCTTCGCCAGACCATGTGCAGCTTGCTCTATTACAGACTCCGCACAATATTTAAATCTCTTAAACAAAGGTTCTGCAAGGTTTCTTTCTGTAACAAATGTCCTTTGGATGAGATGTTAAACTGAGGTCTTGTCTGCCTGCTCAGGTAGATGTTAATATCTCAAGGCATTACTCGAAAAGAGAAAGGAGTTTCTCCCAATGTCCTGGCCAACAAATCCACCAAACAAAATTGGTCATTTACTCCATGGTTGTTTATGAGACATTGTTGTGTGCAATTGGCTGCCATGTTTCACCCACAAAATACAGTCATTCCACTTTACAGTATATCCTGTGAAGTGGCTTTGAGATGTCTTGATGATAACGTGATAAGGCATTATATCAAATACTAGGGTTATTATTGTTATAAATGTATTCAATAGTGCTGAAGATACTGAGTTTTTAATGGCCTGGTACTGGAGTTACAGTTTTGAATCACTTAAAGGACACTATGTTTGCAAAAGGGGAAAGCAGGGAACAACAAGCCTGTATTTGTCCACAGACCGATGTACAATGTGAAATCCCAGAATACGAGTTGAACTCTATCAACTTTCTTTTCCACATTGGATGGTTGTTTCCTAATGATGACTTTCACAGAGTTCCAGAGGCACAGATTGTAAACAATATTTGTTTGCTGCCAAGAGACATCACCTCGTACTTCTGAGCAGAATGGCTGAAACAACATGAGTTAAGATGCACTGGTATGGAATTAAAATTCTGCCCAAGGTTAGCCTGACTTCCCTGTAACTGGTCATTAATCTGACCTACTGTAGGTTTTCAGAAAAGGTAAGTTGATTCTGACACTATTTTTAACCTGGCCACAACCACAATTTTGTGTTAGAAAATAACAGTTTTTTTTGTTGTATGCCTACCGAACACATTTCTAGATTTGACTTGACAGCGGCGGGGAGTTAAGATTTCCAGTGAGATGTAGTCTGAAGAATACAGTGTGCTTCAGCGTGCCTCGCTGTCAGTTTCTGGTGCGAACTTGGTCACTGAGCCTTCTGAATTTGATGATTTATATCCACGGGAAACATCAATCAGCATGTTACTAATGGGCTGCAGTGATGCAGTGAGCAAAAATGGCAACAATGTGCTACTCAACTTCCAGTCAGTTCAGCAGGACACATACCATCTACCACTGTGTTTAAGCAACACAAACAGCTGGAAACATGAATGTTCCTCTATACTTTATAATATTGCAACAAATACAGTGGCAACTTAAATGATAACACAAATTTACTGTGAGAGATCTTTCTCTTCGACTGAGAGAATACAATTGAATATGCAACATTTTATTCAGAATTTCAAATAAATCATTTTATTATTTGCCATTAAAATTATTTTTAAACTGTAAAACTATGGTTCACATTTTTTTGATGCATCAGAATATTAGTTTTATTTAACCTGCACCAGATGCTCTCCAAAATTAGGTAAGCAGGATGCATCCTTCCATGGAAAGAGTTCACATTCCATACAAAGAAAATTGACATATGTAAATGGCATTTATATGCAGAATTCTGTCTAGTTTGGATACTCTTTACTAATAAAATCAGCTGGGTGTGCATCAGGCACCCGGCTGACTAATAAACACTTCAAAACACTTTTGTGTGGATAAATAGCTGTAATACTGCGGGATTGAAAAAGTGTTCCTTGTGTAAGTGGTTGTAATACTGGTGACTCATTGCCAAGAAACAACATCAAAATGTAACCTGAGCTTTCTCCAGAAAATCTTGCATAAACCACAATGACTCAAGAGATCTCAGCTCCAACCTGAAAGCATCTTGAAGTCTCAAGAGTCGGTGTGATGCACAAGAGTTTCTCTCCAACAAAAAAATATTCAGCTCACCTCACCTAGCACTTTGTACATTGGTGAGGCACCACTAGTGTTATCACTTAAAATTTCACTGCCTAAACCCCATTGAATAAGTTGTTTGCAATGCTGGCTCATAAAAAAAACTTGATGGAAGATTTTCATATCTGGACTTCAATAATATTTATTAAAGACATGTAATTTATTTAAAAAATATTATTATTTAAGATATTCTAATTACTTTTTAGGAAATATTTCATCAACATTTGAAAACAGAATTTATCAGCTTGCTTCCAATAAATGGACTTAAAGTACACCTATTCATAAATATAGTTACTTTTTCAAAGTCTTTCAAAGGGATTGATTGCCCCATTGTAAAAATGTTTCAGAAATGAATGTTATTATAAACCGATCAGTAGAAAGAAGATAAAATTGTCTTAAAAACTAAGACTGGGTAGCTTTCTGGGTCAATATTATCTAAATATTGTGCTATACATAAACTAGCTACTCACCTGTCAAGTGGTTTTGCAATCACCTCCAGCTGCTGGGAGATACTGTCGCAGGGAATTTCTGGTAAAACTTCATTCAATTTCTCATCTTTTTCTAAATCTTCACAAAGTTCAGCTTTCTCGCATTCACTCAAGTTCTCCTGCTCTTCATCGTGGCTGTTGTGCCATTCCTGTGTGTTTGGCCTTAAAGTTCCTGAGCCTTTAAAGGACTCTCGATCACACCTGTCCTCTGCCTCAGACCCATGGATGCTCTCATTGTCACGGTCAAGTTCACTAAGTTGAGAGCTGCCTTGGCTGAGGTTTCCTGACGAGCCATATCTGCTACTTCCTGTTGGGCTGTAGACAAAATCAGAAAGTTTAGCTACTAACTCAAAGCTGTTGCACCAAAGCTTACATGTATAGTGCATAGCAGTCATTAATAATCGGTAGTTTAGCAGTACTTGAATATGATATTTTGCAGCCAATGTATTTGACCCCAATTTGCAAACCATTCTGAATCATTTTCTCATACATGTTCCAAAAAACATCAATTGCCTATCCATCAGAAACATTTTGTGCAAGTAAATTTTAGGTTTGATTCAAGAATTCCTGGCTTGTTCAATAATGTAGACTGTTATGCATACATACATAAACCTTAGTTAACTCAATTTTTTGTTTTGGTTCCTTTAATGATCATACTTCAGAGTATGTATTCAGTGGCATATATTAAGGAACGGTGACAAAACACAGCACCAAAAGCAGCAGGTGCTACTACACTTAGCACACTAAGGACAATACTGCCGCATGGTTACCTTCACAGAAAGCAAACTACAGCTAAAACTTCCACAAAGCACATTGTAAATGAACTGCACGTTTTGTATGTAAGACGTTTCAGTTGCATTAAATAGTAATTCAAATTATAGGTAATTAAACAGAGTCAGAGGACTGCCATAATGTTATGGCATAACGTAAGAAAAGTAGATATTTTAACAGGAATAACATACAAACAATTAAAATGCAAGGAGAAAGGTTTCAAACAAAAAACACCAAACTACTTCAATATGCCTACTTTATAAATTGCATTATAAATGGTCAACCTACTGGTGCCATTTATCATGCGTAAGCTAAGACTGGCCTTTTCGCATTCAAAAGGTCCGAACTCTTGAAAGCTTTCTGCTGTGATGCATGGTGGAGCTCTGGAGATAAGTAGGTCTCAGTGGAAACATCGGTTTCAGTCTCAGTTGTCTTCTCCAAATGTATAGTAACTTCTTCAGATGGCTCCTTTGCATGTAATTCTGAAGCTATTATCTCAGAACTACTTTGAAGAGCAGCAATTGAGGCAGTCTCTAGACTTCCTGACAAAAGATTAGCCTGATCATTCAGGGAACTGCTCTGACTTTTGTTTTCAACACTACCTACCTTTTCAGACTCTCCTACAATGACCTTATCTGTTAATATACTGCTTTCACTTTTGGTATCTATACTGTGACTAAAGTCTGGAATGGCGTGAGAACTCTGTCCACTATCATCTCTTGCTACAGGTTGTTTTGTGACTACTGTATGCTCTTGTTTAGCAGCGCTCTCTTTCTGCCAAGGAAAGTGGTCCAGTTTTCCAAAGACAGATCCCTGTGTGGAATCCTGTGCTTGGCCATTCTCTGCATCAAAAAATGTCTTGGAAAATTTCTTAAAACTAGATAACAAACCAGTTTCCCTGGATGGGTCGCTCATAGGAGATGGTTGCTGTGAAAATAAACTGAATGGCTTGCCACTTTCTCGGGAAGACAAAAAACTGAATTTAGATGTAGCAATGCTGGGAATTTCAAAAACAGATTTCGTCGTCCCATAATCAGCCTTCTGTGGAGTTTTATTTGTTAGTGAGCCATAAGAGGCTGGTCCATCCAAAACCTTGGAATTCATTTGCAAAGTGGGTTGATCATTTAGAAGATCTTCAGACTTAACATCTAGCACTAATTCTTGACTGGAACTTCCCAGCTGTGAAATGTCTCCACTTGCTGCATCAGGAATAAACACATTATCAGGAACATCTTCCACCTCTTCACTTTGCTGTGCATCCGAAACAAGAAAACCTTCACCTGCAACTAAAATATCTGGGTCTTCTGGCTCCATTGTGTTGCTGGGCATTACTTGACTTGTATCTTCAGTATTGACTGATTCGTTTTCAAGGACTTGGACATCAGTGCTTTCGTAGTCACATTGGGTATTATTTTCAATGTAATAATTTTCTGATTCCTGCTCTGATAAAGTGCCAGCAATATTACTGTGAGAAACATCAATAGGCATTTCTTCGATTGTTTTGAGTGGGTCACCTATACTTTGAGAATTGTTACAAACTTCAAATGTATCAGCTTCTTTTTGCACGAAAGAGGTTTCTAAATTTGCAGCTGGATTAGTTTTTTCAGCAGGTACCTTAAAAAGGCTAAACAAATCAGGTTTTACAGATGGCATCTGGCTATTATTGTGCGACAAGTTAAAAAAAGTGCTTCTTGGTTGAGCACTTGGTCCTGAACTTGAGTTTGCAAACAGTGATGGAAACGAAGTGGTTGAGGTTTTCATAGATTCACTCCCACTGCTAGAAAATAACTTCACTTTTGTCATAAAGCCCGAAAACACTTCCATTGAGGAGCCTATTAAAGACTTTTCACCTTCAGACAACTTCTCCCTTGCTTTAAAATCAGTCAGTCCATCAACAGTTGGGGTTTTCGGAGATTCACACTTTTCATTTAACAAGTTGTTGGATGTATCCACTTGAGAATATTGCGGTTCTGAAACAATCCCTCTTTCTACAACAATCTCATCCGAATTGTTTTTCATCTCAATCCCCAAGTCAGAGGCTTCTATATCAGTCTCTTCTGCCAAATTTGGGAGATAGGTTTCAACTTCTGTAGTCCAGGCTTCATCTGTGTCTGTAGCATTAGCAGGGAAACTATTCTCAGTGTTGTAATCAACGTCAATGTAATCTGCTGTAGGACTCTCATCAATATCAATGTGTTCTGTAATAGGTCTCTCATCAATATCAATGTGATCTGCTGTCACACTCTCATCAATGTCAATGTGATCTGCTGTAGGACTCTCATCAATGTCAATGTGACCTGCTGTCAGATTTTCATCCAAAATGTTTTCTGCGGAAACACAGTCCCTAGTATCAACATTATAAACATCATGATGACATGGTACATCTGGGATACTTCTGCTTTCCATGGGATCTGAATACATGAAGTTTTTAGTAGCAATGATACCTCTATCACAAACATTGTTGGCTATTTTAACTTCACCATTTTCATTAGTTGTCAACGAACTTTGCAAAGTGGGTGCACCTAAATCATTATTGTTATAAGTTAAAGGGACCTTTTCCTGCAGAACTGATGTTATTATGTCCACCTCTGGTACACCTTTCCTGTCTTCACTGCCAGGATCTCTCAAACTGCCAGCAGATAACACATCTCTCTGCCTTGCAAACAAGCCAGCATTATTTTCAGTGGATTCTGAGCAACTTTGCTTGGAAGGCTCTGGTTTTGTCCTTTTCTCATCCTGAAATGTCAAGTTCAAGAAACTAAAGCTGGAGCTGCTTTCCTTTGGTTTTCTCTCCTCAGCTGGAGGAGTGGATGAGAAGAACGACGGTAATTTGAAAAATCCTTCTGAGCTGCCTGTCTGCCTAGCTCCAGGAAATGATGCATTACGACTAGGGGTTTGGGTCTGACTTGCTTGGTCTGTCCCACTGAAGAAAGAAAATAGGCCTTTGTTTGTTCCCTGTTGTTTGGAACTTGAGACATTTGGAAGTTTCCAATCTCCTGCTCCAAAGGGTAAACTAAAGAGACTGGATTGTTTGGGTTTTTGCTCCTGTTTTCCTGCCTTTGATGGAGAAGCAAATCCACCAGTTTGATTTTCACCACCTCCTTGAACCTTCGTAGAAACCTGGGAATTAACGTTTTCTGAACTAAACTTATTATCCCAAACTGTGACTGTGGATTTCTTTCTAATATTTTGCTTTACGATGGGATCAGAAAACTCTGTTGTGGTGATATTTTGTGCAGCATTTATTTCAGTCCCAGGAGGGAGTTCAGTATAGTGCACAGTAGATTCATTGATTACAATTCCACCAGTATTTGGGGCAGATCTATTTTGATGCATAGAGGTTTTTTCTGCCTTATCCAAAGCACTTTGCACATTTACTGAGGTTATATCATTTGTTTCATCCACTGAAGGCACCATTTTAATTTCAGTAGTTTCAAAACCAATATTTGGTTCTCTTAGTGTTCGTTGCTTTTGCAAACTCTTTGACCTTGAGCATGGCACCTCAGGTCTTAAGGAAGCCAGAAGAGCATTCTCACGTTCGTTCTGCTTGGTGTTATCATGCACAATTTGTTCTGCAAATGGTAGCTTACTTTTATTTTCATTCTTACTTGAATTCATTGCATGCTCTGGATGTTGAATTGGATCCATTCTGAAGAATCCTCCAATTGAGCCAAAGAGGGATGAGATGCCAGAAGGCTGTCTTTCTACATTAGGAACAGATTTCCCAAAATTGTTCTGCTCCTTTTCAAGTGTTTCGTTTACTCTCGACGGAAAAGTCAAGCCTGAAGAATTCTGCTCTTCTTTGGCACTGGCACTTTTAAAAATGTCAAAGAAACTAGAACTTCGAGTTCCCTCGCTTTTTGATTGAGTCTGACTTTCGGACATGTTAAAAAGTTTGAGAGGACTTTTGAAGAACGAGTCCTGTGTCGTCGAAGTGGGAATGTGAGGTGCAGTAGGCTGAGAAGATATCAGAGGTGGTTTGGCACTAGCATTAGATTTACTTTGATTTATCTTTGACATCCCCTCAGGTAATGGCTGCAACACACTTTCAGCTGAGGCCTCGGGATGTGGTAAGTGAGAGTGCAAAGAAGATGACCTAGCCACATCTTGATCTGGTAATTTGCGTCTCTGATCAACAACAGATGGTTCGTCATCTGAAACACTTATTGTACTCTTCAAGTGACTGGACATTGATATTAAACTTTTTAAACCAGATGCAAATATATTACTTGGTGTGTCATCTTGTGAAGTAATTGAAGGCTGTCTATCCCTAGCATTAGGCTTAGTCTTATCCAGATCATTTCTTAATAAAGGAGTGGTATCATTGGTCATGTCCATTGTGCTCTTTGATGGGGTGACTGGTGCCGAGTCTGCTAAAGCAGAATTAGAATCCACAGAACTTTCAACATTTTGTTTTCCAACAAGATCACCCAATGAAGAAAAGAAAGATGTTATCTTTTTGATAGGCTGTTGGTGCTCTTCAGGTTGCTTGATTTCAGAGGTCTTCTGTGTTGAAGAATCTGATAACTTAACAGAAGAACGAA